ATCTCAAGTTGATAGTCGCTAAATCCACTGGTCCCTTTTCATCTCTTCTTTAAATGATGATTCTGACATCCTAGTTGGTGTTGATCCCCCTTCCTTGAGATGCTCTTCACCCCTGAAATCCATGACCCCAGTTCTCTTAGTCTTTCTTCTCTGTCTCTGGTGGCTCTTTCGTTTTTCTTTGGGGGATTCTTCCTGTTCCCTTCTTTTGAATGTTCTGCCTGGCCTTCCATTTTCAGTATGCATCAGAAGTGAGCACATTATTTTCATGTTTTAAAGAAGGTCCTATTTATCAAGAATAAGAGCGTTTAAAAAACTCGACATAGAAAATTGATGTATTGAATCCCAAGGGAAATACACAGCCTTATGGCTCAGATTACATTCTGTAGGGAACAAAAGAACGAAAAAGAGTATTGGCATTGCTTTTTTAGGTCCTCCAATGTTAGCTTTCAAGAAGTAGAAACATGGAGGTTGATTTCTAAACTTTTATCTTGGATTTAGATGGAGATAAATCTTGAGTCACAAGTTGCTCAACTACTTTTAACATTCTTGTAACGCAATCTTATCTACTCCCACGGTTGGACAGTTACCCACGTATGTAAGAGAAGTCGCACTTTCCTAGCCATTTCAGCACCTTAGACAGGGCCTTGCAAATATCAGGCACCTGCTCTCCATGATGCCGCCTTTAAAACTTACTTACTGAACAGCTACCATGGGCCTGGTCTACAGCATTCTAAGAGCAGATATCGTCTACATAAACTCAACCAGAGTACTTTTGCCCAGGTAAACAAACCTATTAACTGAGGGGCTATTCATTGCACACTGCATTTCAGGCTCCCACAACTATTTTAGTCCAATGGTCTTAGAAAGAGCCCGTTTTCAAATGGATAATCCATTAAACTCCTGTCCAATGAGCCAAACCCTGGTAGAATTATGCTGTATGTTTGAGGGGCATTGGCCAATACCTAAGGCTCCTCATTCGCAGAGTTTTCTCGTGACTATCCTGCCTCTTGCTAAATGAGGCCCTCCAATTTATTCTCCATTCCTCAAGATGGATTGATGTGTGGCAATTGATGCTATGTTGCCCAAGCTTAACTGTATGTCAGGTATGGGAGAGAGGAGTTCATTCTGTACTATCCCCTCAGCTCATCTTTCATGAATTCGTCCATTATTTTTCCTTCCAGTTGGTTCTCTGTTTCATCCTGTGCCCACAGAAGGTGACACTGTCCAGTGTCCCAGAGGGGAAGACATCAAGAGGAGAAACTGAGGGTTGCCTTATCAGACACAGCCACTAGGGGGTACGACATTACAGATCCTGAGCAACCAAAAATCAAACTTTCTCAAGACTTCTGGAGTCCTACTAGGATGGTTGGTGTTTCTTCCACTTAAGAAAAGGCTTGCAGCTTTTGTTTGAAAGAAACAATCCCACATAAGCCACTGGATCCCAACCCTTAGCACTGGCAAGATATACATATACTTTTAATATGAAAGTTTGATTTGAAGCCAGAGGTTCATTTTAGCATTCACCTTAATTGTTCTTGACTTGCATTTCTCTTTGCAGGATACAGAATTTGCTAATCTGATCCTGAGCAAGCACTGATTTATTATTCCTTCATGTGGTTCTATTAATAGCATGGAGCTCTAAATAAACGCTGATGGCATGCAAATCCCACCTGACAGACTAGAGCTGTGATGGCTGTAATGGTACAAGCCACAGACAAGAAACCACTGGTGAGAACAACGTCCGTCCCTCCCCCTGCTCCCTCTACCCCCATGGCATTCATAGATCTCTGGTAAATGCCACTCCATTTCTGGAATAACAGCCAGAATGACACGCCCCCAAAATCCTTGGTGTGCATTTGAAAACACCAAGATTTTACCCATTTGTTCCTCCCCAGTGCTCCACTGCTGCAGAATTATTTGGGATTGAAAATTTGTGCATGATTGCCCAAAAGATTCGATTGTAGGTGCATCCTGCTGAAATGATGGGGCTGACTGTATCCACTGGCCACAGATGTCTACCCTTCCTTTTTCCAAACTGCTCAAGCACTCTATCGGCACCTTGCTCGGGAGATCCATCCATCCCTTTTTGCTCTGTGTTATTATAAGACCTCCTGGAAGAATCTTAAGTCCCTTGATAGCCCCAAAATTCTCTTAAGCCAAGGGTCTTGTCATTATTGCATTCCTCCCACACACACACACAAAATTAGGCACACAGTTGGCATTCAATAAATGCGCCTAATGAATGAACTAGCTCTTTCCCCATGATTCATTGTGGACAATACACCGCTATGACGCAGCCTTTCTCATTACATGGAAGGCAGTGGAACAAGGTGGTATAGACTTCAGGCTCTGGTGGGACACCTACATTCGCATTTCGGCTCATCCTTGATTAATTCTGTAACCTGAGACAGGTGTATTCAACCTTCTCCAAGCCTCCCCTGCCTTATCCACACAATAGGAATGATGTCCAGGTTACCTGCTGCACGGATTGTTGACAGCACAAAGGGAGGGAATGCATGTGAGGTGCAGGGCCAGGTGCAGGGAACGCACTTAATAGGCGGTAGCTGTGGTTATTAAAGAATGTTGACCAGCCCTTGAATTGCATAGCGGTATTAGAATTCCAGGAGTTTAGCCACTCCTGTGTGGTTTTACTGCAAGGCCCCTTTCACATCTTTTGAGGCCAGTCTTTCCTCGGCTATTATAACAACACAAGATGGAGCAATCCCACAGCTAAGAATAAGGCAATAAACCACGATGACGTGGGGTGGAATTGGCCATGGTGGACAATTAAATAATAAAGGTTCTTTGTTATGAATATGCCTTTACAGATACAGAGAAACCTGCAGCAGAGAAAGCTATGCTCCATATAATTATGCTGCCTCCAAAAATTTTGAAAGAAAATGCTCTGAAGGACAGAGATGTGCTCTCTCTGGTTAATTCCTTCTACCTCAGCTGCCCCTCGTGCAGGGAGCATTTCTTCTTGAGCAAATATCCCCATTTTATTTTATTACATAATTATTCAGAATGCTACGCTCTTCTGTGTAATAATGAAAGGCTCTTCTTAGAGGGAAGGAATGTTCCTCAAAACACTCAGATATATTTGATTTATAACAACAGAAACATCCTGAGAAATTAATGTAATGGCTTAAGGGAATGATTTTATTTTTTGGCAAAAAAGAAAGAACACAATCATCTGTTACTATTATATCAGAGTCTAATGTGGATCTTGAAAGTTGAAAATACTGTCCATTCTATTCTAGAGGGACGCCCAATAGAAAAACATTGGAAGTTAGACTTTTTAATGAGTCAGGGTAGGCATATGTGCCATTATAATTAAATACAGATTAGTCAATAAGGGTGATGACACCAGCATGAGCTTGCTTGCTAGCCAACTAACGTCTTAAAGTTGTATAACAAACCTGTTACACTGCACTAGAATGCTCTTTAAAGAGAGAAACTACTTTACTGATTCACACTACAAAATAGTCTACTGATTTACACTCCCAAGGTGTGGAAAATGTAAATTGATTTACATGCAACATTTTAAGGAGCAAAAAAGGAAGGAGGCAGGCTTGCATTGGTGTATGTAAAAGCCCTAAGTATAATGGCTTTTTCTTATCACTCTCATTCAGGGGAATGCTGTGGTGGTGTTTTTCCTTGTATTCATCATCTGTAGTCACTTCCGTTATTTTACAGAATCACAGAGTGTTCAAGAAGAAACTGAGAACTGGCCTCTTCTGAATTCTTCAGTCAAGACGACTGACCTGAGGCCTGGAGACTGAAGACATGTCTCAAGTCCACAGAGATAGATAAAGAGCTAGACGCTAGAATAAGGGTCTTGTTTTTCTTGTTTCTTAAGATGGTGCTCCTTCCATGATTTAAAAAACAAACCAAACTTGTTCTTACGATCACCACACTAGGTGACTACCATCACATTCAATTTGCTGCTTAAAACCAGCCCAAAACACTCCATGGCAATGTTCAAGTATTTCCAAAACACCTAGATTAAATAGTTATAAACTATCTATTTAGTGCACAAAAAAAAAAGAAGGAAGAACAAGAAAGAGAGAAGGAAAAGAAAGCAAATATATATGAAAATCCTAAGCAACCTGGTTGACTGGTGACCTTTGGACAATTTTGTCTAATGTTGTCCAGAAGGACCGAGCAATATCATCATGAGAGATGATGTCACTAGAAAAGACAGGAAGTGAGTGAGAAATTTGGAGCCCACTGATTTTTCCATCCCGTTGCTAACCTGCTACTATTACTTGCCCTCCATGCTATGAAATCGACCCAAGACTGCTTAGCTGTACAAAAGAAACTCGAAGAAAGCATGTTCCTGACTACCTCATGTAGATGAGCAAGATATATTGTTTAAAGAAAGCCTGAATAAGAAATATTCTCAGTACCCCTGACAAAATGCCACATTCCTCAGGAATAAGGTAATTTGCTGAGGAAGGAGAGGGGACGTGAGAACATGGGAATTTTGCAGTCCTCAGAGACGCAACAGGAAGCACCCAACCTCTAGAAGAAGAAAACATTGGTGAACTTTTGCAGTGATGATAAGAGCACCCACGGAAGACCCCCTGGCTGCTGCCTTGAGAGATTCGCCAAGGTGGGAGCCAGTTTTGGACCCTCAGTCTCCCAAATCTACCACTTATCTAACTTTGCTACAGGTGAGGTGTTGCTCATATTTAATTGTTAACTAGAAGAAGTGATGATGAGGACTAAAGCCTTGGCTCCTTTTCTCCATTAATCTCTGATCACTGGCCCATAGGCCCAGACTTTCACTGGTGATGCATCCATCGACGACTGAAATCACGCGCTCAGGACTGAAGACACTTTTTATATGCTGTTCAACTTTCAGAATTAGTGTGTGTTTGGTTACCTTTTTTGAAAACAAACCAACCAACCATATTTGCTGTCTATAAAAGCATCAGGAATGCGGGTAGACATTCACAGGAAATAAGCTACAACATATTGAAGATAAAGACACATACCAACACTCCAATCCATTTCCTCGGCAGTGTCCCCATAAGCGCCGTGTTTACTTTTGCCGGCAAAATCCTTGGAAGAGAAGAGGGCCGTGTGCACGTGAAGGTAAGACAAGACAAGCAGAAACGGTGTCTCAGCGTTCCTGGAAGAAAATTCCCAAGAGCAATATCAGCAGGTTTGCCGCCGTTCTGACTAGGATCAAACTACCATTACACGATGCCATTTGAAAATTCAGGAAACACCATAACATGATGCCTAATCTTGTACCTTTTATTCAGAGAAAGGGAAGCCTGCATAGGGTCTCTATGAAGCAACTCACTGTTACCCTTTACAGATTAGCAGACTGAAGTGCTACGTCCTGGAGACAATCTCTGATGACTCAGCTCAGGAAGAAATGTAGTGGAGTATGGTCTGCTTTTTTCCTTGAATTCTATTCTTCCCTCTCTATACAGCGATTGATATGAACTCAAGCCATTCAAAAGAGTATTCTCTTTGGAAAATATATATACACACACATTACTACCTAGTAAAGACAGTATCTTGAGTTGTCAACTTTCTTTTTAAAGATTGGCACCTGAGCTAACATCTGTTGCCAATCTTTTTTTTTTATCTTCTTCTCTCCAAAGCCCCCCAGTACATAGTTGTATATTCTAGTTGTAAGTGCTTTTGGCTCTGCTACGTGGGACGCTGCCTCAGCATGCCTTGATGAGTGGTGCTAGGTCCACGCCCATTATCTGAACCAGAGAAACCCTGAGCTGCTGAAGCGGAGCGTGCAAACTTAACCACTCGGCCACGGGGCCAGCCCCTTCAACTTCTTATATCAACACCTTTCTAATGCCAATTCAACTCGGTATTCTGCCATATTGCCCACGTTCTACTATAAAACAAGTCTCCCAGAATGAACACGCAACTGTCAAAACTGAAATTTTGGAAGTTACATGGAACATTCTTTGAACTAATCCAAATCTATAATCTAGAGAGTTTCATGTTATTGCAAAAGCATTTTAACTCAGAGTACACCTAAACCTACTCTGTTGTAATTGGTGAGAACACACAGATGCTCAAGAGTCATGAGTTACTGTCAACATGCAGCCCTTGTGACAACTGCTATGAGCCAGATTACTGTGGGAAGGTCAAGAGGTTCACACGCAAGTCAGGTAATAAGTCACATCACTTCCTCTTTACATCTCGACCTCTGAGAAGTGCACTTAATTGCTGCATTTTGATTTCACATTACAGGCGCAATCTTTATCTTTGTCCAGGAAAGCTTCAGCAATTCCTTTCCAGCTAAAAGGGAATATTGAGTGAGTGGCCTTCTGAAGGCTATTGGGGCACAAATGAAGGAGTGAGTGAGTGAATGGATGGATGGACAAATGCAATTTCTAATAAAGCATTTGCTGCACTACCCAAGAATCGTTTATGTGCATTCTCTCTGCCACAAGGTGACGAGTTGGGGCACGTCATTTACATCTGTGTTCCTGGCACCAGCACAGTGACTGGCAGGTTGCGTAAGTACAGTAAACATCTGTTAATATGTGAAATATTGCATCAGCTCTCTCAGCTTTGGCAGTTTCACCCAGAAGTCCAGTGAACTTCGGGGACTCGTCGATGCAACATGGTTTATGTAAAAGTGGCTCTAGAGTAGGTAGTATTATATATACATATATATATACGTATCTGGGCTTCTAACCTAACTCAGAAGTTTCCAGTCATTTTGAAGGGATCATCCCTTCTGTTCGGCATCTTTGCCAACCAGCAAAAGTTGTAAAGAAATAATCTATTTAATTAAATCAACATTACTTTTATAGATTTACTTAATACCTTAACTCCTCATGATAACCAAAAACATTTCAAATCTAGAATTGAGTATCACAATTCTAATAACTTTACCTCTAATTAATGAATGCATGCATGCTTTTCTAAATGCATTCTTAATTTCCTAGTGTGAATATAGCTTGGGTTCCTTCAGCCCACACAGCACCTTGTGGGTCAACTCCTCCTCGGATCTACTGGTTACCACCTTCCTTTTAAGGTTGCTTCTTGCATCAATTAACTCCTGTCTTTTGAAACAAAGCAAGCACACAACATCACACTTTGAGTGAGCCAGGCACCTCTTGTTCTCTGAAAACACACCAAATCCTGCAAGCTATTGTTATCATGTGTATAACAATTTATGGCTCCAGTGCTTAGAGATGAATTGTGTCACTTTTTTTTCCCACAAGAGTGTAAAATGAAGGAATTTTGTTATTATTTCATGACTAAGAAAGCAAAAACAAATGTTTCTAAGTGGCTTGTCCCACTTCTCCCATTAACTGGAATTAGAAGGCATGAGAACCAGAACCCACAACATCTGGTCTATAATTCTCACCACTACTTCTAGGAAAGAAAAGAAGACAGACTAATGATCAGATGGAAGAACCGAAGCTGTCATCCTAGCTGACGATCTACACACGAGAATGTCTACCAAGGCATCGCAGGCATCCCTTTGGCTACTTCTAAGGGTAGATGCCCTTGCAGAGCCTGGAAGAACTGAAAATAAGCCATGGTATGTCATGGACTTTTGCCACACAGGGCATCCTGTTAGGCCTCCATCTTAGTCATTCTGGGGGAAGTTTACTCACACCTGGACATATACCTGCACCTCCTTCTCAAGAAGCAGATCACGGCCTAAAAACTGGCTTAGATTTCCCAAAACGAACGTGAAATCACACTCTTCATACTCGTCCCTAAACAGACGGTTACATTATGTATGGGTACAATTTCACTCTCATCTGTTCTCCCATTTATTTTTAGACTTAAAGTTAAAGAAAATAGATAAGGAAGCTTAAATAGTCAATCTTCCAAGTACATATATGGTCATGGTTGGAAATACAGGATGTGACTGACAGAATTTGCTGAGAATGAAGAGCTATTCCACTCCCAACAGCTTGGAAAAAAAAAGATGAAGAAGAAAGAGGCAGCAGTCAACATTATTGGCAGGATCAGACGATCAGGACATTTTAAAATGTGATGTGAGCATGAAAAAATAAACGATAAAGTTGGCACAATAAGCAAATAAGGGATCCCCAGAAAATGCGGTTCACGATGAGGGCAGTGAGAGGAGGCGAGTTGAAGATGCAGCACCTCGGAGTTCAACTACAGCTGCGGAATGTGGCCTTCATCTTGGAATGTGGGAGGGCCCTTGGTGGAAGGCAAAAAGGCCATTAATGTGTTTATTATAAAAATACGCATATTTGTAGAACTCTTTTTCTATTGTCTCTCTGCAAAGCAGCAGTTTTTCAGTCAGTAGACTAGACATCACAGACACCAGCCAAGGTCCTGGGTGTCAAAGCAGAGTGATCAGGTTTTACATACAAAAACAAACCCAGAAAATGTAGAAAAGCACATCCAGCTTGCGAAAACACCATACCACAAAGATTTACCATCCCGGAATAGAGGTATATTCCACGGTGGAAGGTGGGCTAGACAGACATAAATCATGGGCTGCCCTGCACACACCCTGGGGTGTGACTGACAGCTCGCTCTCAGGTGAAGGGATTCCCGCTTAGTAATGTCCTTCAAAAGAGCAGGAAAGGCCATTTCCCCCGAGGCCAGGCTGGCTGACGAGGCCTGGGTCTCCCTTCTTCTCTACGACCTTGAAAACTGAATGACACTTCAGCGAGTTGGTGGGAGGGAGATTTCTCAATAACAGCTTAACTCCTTTTTTATTAGCTGGAGCACTTGAGTAAACAACTCTTTTGAAAATTTATTGCCACTGTCTTGCACGCTGTGTGAAGAGATAGAACTTTCAGCTGCTACATGCCTTCCCTCTATTTGTTAAAAATACAGAAGGCAGCTCTGCGCCTTCCCGGCAACCTGCAATCATTTCAATCTGAGAATCAAAAGATCTACATCTTATAAATGCGTGAGTGAAAATCTAGGCAAGAAGATGGCTATGGTGTTATTTTTTTTGTCTGCCATGAAGGTCTTGAATATAATATTTCTCAGCTGAGGGTTTGACCTTTAGTATTCAACTGGTGTCCCAACTTGAGCCAGCAGAGGGAATAATTGGAATGAAAAGAGCAATATCTGTGGATTGTTTCTGAGAGCCCTCGGATGCTGCTGATTAGAGTATGGCATGAACCAGATAATGGCCTTCACGGCCACCCAGCGGAGTTCGTGTGACCACCACTGTGCACGGCAGATAGATGTATACATTCCGCTGTTTGTTTCTTCCATCCATGCATTTCACATCTATGGAAAGAACGTTCTGCCAACACGCTACCAGGCACTAAAAATATAAAGGTAATCTGGACTAGACCCCGCCATCAGAAACCCACAGTTCAGACACGAGCATGAACGATTAGTTTGAGCTGCTTTAAGCACCATGACAGAGTGCATCAGATGATGCACACAGAGAAGGAGAACACATCTCAATCTGACAGGGGTCAGGACTTGCTCCTGGAGAGAGGCCGATTCCAAAGGTTCATGCAGCATGCCCACATATGTGAATGCTTTCCACAAGCACACGGGGGCTTGAGCTGTTCCCATGTATGATGTTCAGAGATACGGAAATAGACAATGTCAGAGACACATTCTGGGTATTTACCTGGTGAGCTAAAAGCAGTTTCTACGGCATGTAGCCCCAAATTATTCATTCAATAATTCAGAATAATTTTTTTAATAAAAATACATATGCATGGAAAGAAGCCCAGAAAGATACCACAAACACGTCAGCTTTGCTATCTCTTGGGTTGGGGACGACAAGTGGTTGGAGTGGGGGAGTGAAGACCAGCAACAATTCTAACTTTCCACTTTATACATTTTTAGATATTTTTTTAAGTAGCACAGGTTACTCTCATAACCATAGAAAAATGAAGATATATCTTAAAAATAAAAACGAATACAGGGAAACTATGAAAGCCACAAGAACATACGTGGATGAAATAGATATCCAGGTCTCAAAGTCAATTGGTGTAACCAGACTTAACTTAACCAGACTGCCCTGATTGCAGTCTTGCCTGCATCCCTTCTGGCTACGACAAGCATCCCAGCTTCCCCACACTGGCCTCATCTCTGGGGCTTCACGTTGGGCTCTCTTGGTGAGAGCACCTTTCACGGGCAGCCTTGCCCATGGCCCTGCAATGCAACTTTAGATTACAT